GAGAGAGTGTGTGTTTGTGTGTGTGGGAATTAACTATAATGGAACATGAAGGAGGTTTTCGGTTTCCTCATATGACAAAGTTAATAGCCTTTTAGTGACCACGTTCTTACATTCCAACTTGTTTAGAGGATAAATATGCAAATCACCATTACATTCGTTATATAAGAAGGGCCCGAGGAAGCCGAAGAAGTGATGGGCAAAGGATGTAGACCACGCCGAATAATGGCACACACGATCACGGCGTCGAAAATTACTTATCCGAGATCGATCGTAAGATGTCTGCGAATGTACCCTCAGGATGGTGTACAGAACAAATAGTTGGCGTACGGATAGAACTTGCCAATCTCGGAAAAGTTCTCGAGTTGGAAAAAGGAATGGTCGGAATGACGCCACTTTCAAAACCGCTCGTTGAGCCACTTCCAGTTTCATAAGAGTCGTTTTTGCTACACCACCCCAGGATGAAATGCAGTAAAGAAGAATGATTTGACACGTAGCAAAGTATACCATCCTAAGAACATCAAAATCGGCTATATGACGTAAAGTTTTGAAAACAACTATCAACTTTCGAACACGGTTAGAGAGAGAATTAATATGATTTTTAAAATTAATATGTTGGTCAATATTTATACCCAAATATTTGAACTCTTGGACGGATTGCAGAGCGGGGCACCGGCATCCACCACGATTACAACTATCAGGAGAGTCATGAGCAATGAGCTCTAATTCGCTGCCAATAGTAGGCAGCGAATTAGAGCGCATTCCAAATACCATATATTTGGTTTTTTGTGCGTTTAAAGTTAACAGATTACAGTTTAACCAACCTAGGATAGAGTTGAGCCCTATTTGAGCACATTGAAAAAGTTCCTGCCAAGAGTCAGCTTGGAACGAAAGTGTTGTGTCGTCAGTAAAGGATATCACAATCCCATTTGGTAACTTAGTTTGGCACAAATCATTTATAAACACCAGAAACAGAGATGGCCCTAGGATACTTCCTTGGGGCACTCCATACGATATTGAGAGTTCGTCACTGGTGAAGTTTCCAATTTTAACTTGTTGTGTACGATTGGCAAGATATGATTGAAATAATTTAAGTGCGACTCCTCTTACCCCGACGCCCTCAAGCTTTTTGAGTAAAAGTGGGATCGAGACTGTGTCAAAAGCCTTAGTCAGGTCCAAGAAGATGGAAAGACACTTCTTCTTATCGTCCAAACCGCGAACGATAAAATTAACTAGCTCATGAACAGCACCGTCTGTTGATTTATTAGCTCTGAAACCAAATTGCTGTGGAGACAGAATGTTATATTTTTCTAAATATTTCATTAATCGAGTGTTCATGATTCGCTCGAGAATTTTGGACAACGAGGGAAGCAATGAGATTGGGCGATAGTTACAGACACGGTCTCTATCCCCTGACTTGAATATTGGTGTTATGACAGCTTTTTTAAAAACGTCGGGAAAACAGCCGGATGTAAGGCTTAACTGGCAAACATGGGCAATGATTGGTGATAACAAAGCGGCATATCTTTTAAGAAAGTTTGATGGTATTCCGTCCCAACCCACAGCACAGTTAGCTTTGAGACCAGTAATCAAATTGAATACTTCGTCTTCGTCTGTAGCTATCAAGGCAAATGATTGTGAGACCTGTGTGCCATGTGAAGAGGAAGTGGTCGACCCCAAATCCTTAGGTCCGATAACCTCGGCCAGGGAACTGCCAACACTTGCAAAGTATTCATTACAAGCATTAACAGAAAGTTGTGGCAAACTTTGGGATTTTAGTAATTCCAAAGCGGATTCCCTTGGTGTTTCCATGGAGGTATTGGTTTTAATGACTTTCCAAAGTTTTTTATTATTAGAACGAGCTTCTATTATCTCGTTTCTTTGATAGCTACGCTTTAACTTTTTTAATATTTCATTACAATAATTCCGGTACCTCCGATAAGCAATCAATAGGATATTGTCATTAAGTGTCACCCTAAGTTTCATATGCATATTGTCCCGGTTTCGCATACATCGTAGCAATCCCAATGTAATCCAAGGCGTGAGTATAGAAAACCGATGTGACAACTTCAGGGTTTTGGTGTTTGAAACAAGTGCCTGCGCAAGCAGATTAACAAGAATGGATGCAGCAGCGTTACAATCATTACACGAGAGAACAGAGGAAAAGTCAATATTAGACATCGCGATATCAATGGCAGCATAATCAACCTTCGCAACGACACGCGGGGGACATCTTGGTAACTCAGAGTCTAAGGCAAATATTATTGGCTTGTGGTCCGTAATAAATGATGTAATTACCAAAGTAATACTTCGCTTTTTAGATTTTAAAATAAGATGGTCTAAACATGTTGAATCCCGAGTAGGAAAGGTATGTGCCGGAAGCATTCCGTGCATGGCTAAAAGATTACAATAATCATCACTGCATCCTTCACTGCTACCTGGAGCAATATCAATGTTGATATCGCCGGTTAAAATAATTGTCTGGAAGGATGCAAGCGATTTCAAAATATCGTTAAGGGAACTCAGAAAGGTGGTTACATTTTGCTTAAAACAATGGGGACGATAAATCGAGATTATTGCTTTATGATTTGCAACTTTAATAATCAAACAGTTAGTTTCTGGAAAATAGGGTTCAGTAATAGAAAAAGAGATTGAGCTCTTTACAAATACTACTACACCATCGTTTTGGTTGTAATTGTCAGATGTTGAATGAGACGAATATCCGTTTAAGGCTGGAATATTGCCATGACAACAAGAAAGCCAGCACTCGGTAAGAATAACAAACTCAGGCTCAATTTTAGTACGTAAAATAAAAGTTAGAAGGGCGTCAAAGTTATGATTTATGCTACGTATGTTGATAGATAACAACTTCATTTTTTTGTTAGGGACTCGCAATAATGACGAAACATCCTCCGCGCCACATTCTACAGCCTCCGAAATTTTTAATTCATCAATATTATGAAGAAGATCGTTAACGCTATCGAATGATATGCTTATAAAAATGGAATGGGCTGTTGATGGTGGCCTGTGGAAAATACGTGGGCCGTCTCGGACAAGTTCCAGTAAGTGCTAAAGCCAATGAATTGCAAGAATTTTCTGAGCTATTAATAAGTAGAAATATGGGAATTGAGTGTGTATGAGTGAGAGAGAGTGAATGTAAATGTGTGTTGGTGAGTACTAAAATGTAAAAAGTATTTGACTTACTAACATAACAATAACAAAGGCAAAAAGACACGTCTAGTCACGGAGACTTCTGTAAATTAAGCACTTGTTCTTCATTTCTTATTAATATGGAAGGGGCATTCTCGTTTTTCTTCAGGTAGACGTTTCCTCCTGCAGTCCAGCAAAAATCAAATTTTCCCTCTCTTTTAAGATCTTTGGCCATGGCAATACAAACTCCTAATCGTGAACCGTTTCAAGAAAGCTCATTTGCTTCTTGAATAAAATCAATTACCAACTTCTTTAGACCTAAAATGTCTGTAGACATATTAAATATTTAAAAAATATATTAAATTAATAATAAATGTTAAACTAACTTCTGTTGAAATATTTTATTATATTAGCAACGTTCATTACTTGTGTAGTTTGAAATAAATGAGCTAATGAGAAAACTCATTATTTCGCTAAGTAAAAAAAGTGTTTCTAATTTACTTACTTTCAGAACTTACCTTTATAAGTTTTTGTAAACAGGAAGTTTTGACAAAGTTTTCAACAACTTTTGAATATAAATCTGCCTTGGTGCTACTGTTCATTAGTTCTGTTTCGCCCTCAAACCCGTGTCGAGACATAAAGTGCTATTTACATAAAAATAAATGTGAAAATAAAAACTGAAGAAGGTGCTGGTTCGAATCCAGATCTGGATCGAAGGAATTTTTCTTAGTGTTCGATCTTTGTATTAGTAATAATAAAAACTGTTTATTCAATATCCCTGCAGAAACGAAAATAGTGTCGAATGAGTTCAATGTTCTTCATGTTTTCTTTTGGCTTCTGCAGGCCATTGTGCCTAATGCCCGAAGTCCATTTGCCATGTGGTTCTGTAAATTGTGTTTACAAAGTAATTAAAATTTAAGTTTTCATTTCAATATATTTTGATGTCCGAAACAGTTCGCGCAACGCGCGTTTTGTAATAATCTTATATGGTAAACAATTGACACGAATACAACAAAAATAAACATTTTGAGAATATTCCTTGCGGAGAAGCGAACCCGGAAACGCCGGAAAGCTGTACCTATAGGTGCCTGCTGTGTAACGATGACGCGACTTGCAGTTTGTTACAGCCAACGCGTTTCTTTATGAAGAGTCAAAAACAGTCAGCTGCGCCTGCTTTATGTGTAAAGTTAAGAATAAAGCCAAAATGGCTTCTAAAAAGATTGGTGTGCTCAACAGAGCGAAGCGGTGTTTCACATCGGGGCACCGGCTTTTGCTATACAAAGCTCAGGTTCGGCCCCATATGGAATACTGCTCGCACCTCTGGGCTGGAGCACCCAAGTATCAGCTTGATCCACTTGACTCCATCCAACGTCGGGCTGTTCGAATTGTCGACGACCCTATGCTTACAGACGGTTTAGAGCCCCTTAGTTTGCGGAGAGATGTTGGCTCTCTATGTGTGTTCTACCGTCTGTATAACGGGGAGTGCTCAGACGAACTCTTTGAGTTGGTGCCTCCGTCACTCTTTTACCACTGCACGACCCGCCGAAGGAGAAGACTCCATCCCCACTTCCTCGATGCTTGGCACGTCACGACCACTCGAGCATCTCGTTCGTTCCTTCCCCGAACCAGTAAGATGTGGAATGGCCTTCCTCCTGAAGTGTTCCCCTTGCGCTATAACATGGAGTTCTTCAAAAGACGTGTAAACAAGGTTCTCCGGAGTCGGCAACGCATGGGTGATGCCTCTGGTATTGCTCGTGTCCATGGGCGACAATGACCACCTCCCATCAAGTGGCTTGTCTGCTCGTTTGCCTACTAGTTAACATAAAAAAAAAAAAAAAAAAGTAAAGCTTTATTTAATCTTTGGGTAATCTTTTGTTGTAAAGTTGAAAACTCGTTAAGGGCGATATTAATGGGAAGAATAACAGAGGCGACGTGGCCCGTGGGGCTCAGCGCGTGGACGTGACTCACCGCGGCGCTGGAGTCGAACAAATCGCTTTCGCGAGTCGAATGTCAACTCTGAGCGAGGCAACCGTGCTGACAGCTCTACAACAATCGCATAATGATCGTTTATCCCTTATCATTAGTTGCCAGGCGACCCGTCTTCTATTACCCCAAAGTTTCGCCAAGCATTAGCTCTGCGAGAAGTTGTGAAATGTCGCTCGTAAAACAGTTGATTCATTGGCAATGCGGTTAATTTGGAATATTTTTATGTATGAAAAAATTGTTTGGTCATTATAGTCGTCACCAAATAAGAGGCCAAATTTGACAGCTAAGAAAGTAGACATAAATGAAGTGGCTTCTTTGGGTTCTCCAATAAAAATGGGTGTTCCGCAGGGCTCAATACTTGGACCTTTCTTATTTCTGATTTATATTAATGATCTGCCATTCTTTGTTAAGGACCATTGCGAAATAGTGTTGTTTGCTGATGACACATCCTTGATTTTTAAAACAGACAGACATGACATTAACTATGACCATATTAATGATACCCTCTCTAAGGTAGTTTATTGGTTTAATGCTAACAATTTATTGCTTAATGCCAAGAAGACAAAACGTGTAAAATTTGAATTACCTAACGTAAAATCGACTAGTCCAAGCATAGAAATAAACGGAGAAAAGTTAGACCATGTTAATAAAGCAGTCTTCTTGGGAGTGACCTTAGATAGTAAACTTCAATGGTTTCCACATATATCTTCCCTGGCCAGCAGATTAAGCTCCGCTGCATACACAGTCCGCAGAATACGTGAGCTTACCGATGTTAGTACTGCTAGACTAGTTTACTTTACTTACTTCCATAGTATCATGTCCTACGGGATTCTCATGTGGGGTAAAGCGGCAGATATTCAAACCATATTTGTATTGCAAAAACGAGCGATTCGTTCTGTGTACCGTCTAGGCTCTCGGGTTTCTCTCAGAGAAAAGTTTAAGGAGATTGGTATCATGACTGTGGCACTACAGTACATTTACTCAAATATTTTATATGCCCGTAAAAATATACATAATTTCCATAAGAAAGAAGATATCCATAATATTAACCTTAGAGCTAAATCCAAACTCATGGTACCACGATTTCGTTTAACCAAGGTAAACAACTCTTTTATGGGGAACTGTATACGTTTTTACAATAAGATTCCGGAGCATATATTAAGTTTATTATTTCCTAAGTTTAAAAAGTACATGAAAAATATTTTGATCGAAAAATCATATTACAAAATTGAAGACTACGTGTTAGATAAAGATGTATGGAAAGACGACATGGCTCCAGAATCCATCCAAATTTGATTCAAAGTGTATTCCATAGCATTTAAGTTTATTTGAAAAGAGCAATCCCTAGAGTTTCTTGCTCGTTCTTCTCAGGGAGGTCAGCGTAGTGAACGAGCAGTAGCTTAAATGTGACGCTTTCAAGTGTAAATTTATTTTACCTATGGAATAAATAATCTTTGACTTTGACTTTGACTTTAGGCTCCTGTCTCTCACAAAATTGAATATTGAAACTCTATACTGTTCTATGTATCTATCTGATGTGAGAGAAAAGCACATATATATTATTAACACAAAACATATATTATCATTAAACATGTTTTAGCATAATTGCGTTTAAGGAAAATATATAAATTTTATTGAAACCTACAATCATGAAAACATATAATATGACAAAACATATTTGAAGTACTGTTTTCGCACGAATTCCAAAATAAAATACAATTTTGAGTTATCCCGAAATGTCCTGAAAACAGTTTCGTCCTCAAGCTATTTTTTTAAGTAATAACGTTGTAAGCAATTAATCGCCGAATTTCACAGAGTCACTTCGATTTCTCGGAAAAAATATTAGAAAAAATTATGAACATTATTTGAGATTCTTTATTGTTGACATTGACAACTTCTAACTTATTGCCAGCCGAATAATTGAATATTTATGAAATCCTTGGTTTCTTGGTAATTTAATCTGGATGTTTTATACATGAACATACTTATTTACACTAAATTCTCGTAATATTAAATCAAAATTAAAAGAATTTGATACAATTCATCGGAATGTGGGACAATTTTACGAAAATAAGATAAATTGCTACAGAATTGCAAAGAATTCTGTAAATTAATTGCTTTTAACAGAATTGCACTATTTAGCCTTTTAGGCCCCCTGAACAACAATGAACCGAAAAATAATCTAAACATTCACAACTGTAAAATTGTAACTGTAAAATTTTGAATCGTTTTCTCGTGAAAATCGTACCATGTGATTACCGATATGATTAGTCCACATCCTTATTCGCGTCACGATGACAAGTGTCAAATTTGACCTCTTATTTGGTGACGACTATAACAAGTTCATTGCCAAGCCGAGAATTAGAATTTTGTGTGGTAGCCCGCTATACTATTTCGCATAGAAAGTTGATAGCGACGTTGTGACAACTCGCATCAAAAAGTTATGAACGTCTAAAATACTATTCTCATATAATAAAATTAGTAGTTTCATGTTTTGAGGGTCACAAAAAACCGAAATAGCGCTCGTATAAATGTTGCTCTACATTACGCATTCAAGTCGCGAGGCCGACGATGCGCAGGGATTTAAGTGTTCGCTCGATATGAACTCTGGCCTCAGCACTAAAATAGAACTTCATCTCACTCGCAACAAATATGGCTGTATTAAGCGTGAAAACAAAAGCGCTCGTGTGTAAGCGAGTCACGCAACGGGGTCGCGGAGGGGCGGAGCCGAGGGAGGCGAAAGGGGATTAGGCAGCGTTCTCCTAATTAAGAGCAAAGTGTTGCTTATTATCACAAGGCTGTTGCGCGGACAGTGCAGGTTAGACGGAAGATTACCTTCGATCTGTGGCGACGCGCTACTAAGGCGGCGCGGTGCGACATACAGCCGGGTTAAGCCTCCACCATGTTTTATTTTACTAAGCTCATTATGTTCTAATTACTCGCCCTTCTACGCGGCTGTCATTATTTGTTAATCTAGAGATTTCACAAGAAGAGGACTAATAAAGCTTGGGCGCCTATTTAAAATAAAGACAACGTTACACTCATTGCTTTCTTTTCAAATCACAACTCTCGAGAAAGAATTGCATACGTAGGATTACGTATTTTTAATTCTATTGGATAGATAACGAATAAACCCACGTCCGCTCCAATTCGTGTAACTCTGTTGATAATATTGACTGGCTTATTAAAGCAATAAAACCAAACACTTAAACCATAAAATACAATCTATATATTTTTATGTTATGGCAAAAATGTCTAAATGTCATTACTTAAAGTTCCTATTACAACTTTCCTAATGGTAAAAGCATAACCATTAACTCTAATATTGTCTTCAAAAACAATTATGAAATAAACACACACACTCAAGATAATTCACGTAGAAGGTCAAGAGCACGTCAAGCTTGACACTTAAGATTTAAATCCAACTCAATGCCGCTTACGACATGAACGGTCCAAAGTACAAAGCGTCAAGCTTGACGTGCTCTGTATTGTGCCTACAGTTTGGTTACATCAAACTATTTTTACAGTAAAAAAACTTGGTAAACAACAATCAAAAACAGCACAGTAAACTGTTATAATGTTTCAACGCAGACAAACTCCAAAAACCTTGACCAATAAAGATATTTGTTAACTTAAACCCAGAATTGGATTTTATTTGTGGAATTTATACCATGACATTATTTTTCGTCAAATTAATAAAAAGATTAGCCTGTAACTGTAAACGATGTTTTTAGTTGCGCTCCAAAGTAAGTTATATAGAACTAAGACTTTTAATAAGGCGGTAGGGGAACGTGGGGTATTGGGAGCCCGCGGGTAATGAGAGCGGAGTTAAACTGGACTTTCCCAATGCTCATATTTGTGCAAACGGCACTCCTGTCTTCGTTAATGTTCGACAAGGTTCGAGTCCCGTGGAACCCCGCGTTTAGTCGTATGAGATGATTGTGTGTTTTTCGCTTCGCGCTTATAACATTTGCTAAATTTCATCATCCTCGGTAAGTATTAAAATGCATAGATACTACATTGTATATACTACTAGCTATATCACTATATCTATCAAATTTTAGAAGTTATGCTTGAAATCACAATAAAAATAGAAATGTTTTTACTGTTTTATTCCTTTTTCAATTCGATTTTACGCGGGTAATGAGACCTATTTGGCTCTCCTTATCCCATTGCAATATTCACTGGATATTTCTGTAACACTTTCTTGTTTATTTTCATTACTTTTTAACGTATATATTTTATTACTTTAATTTTTTTTTCAGACTGATTATATATAATGGCTCCCATTTGACATACGGGAATCTTACCGGGTCCCATTTCCCGAACTGTGGGGTAATGAGAGCGAATGAAATGTTTTAGTATCTATATATGTATAATATATATGAAGATAATATGTATATATATATATAATGTTGAAGACAAAAATAAGTTTTGGGTATTTCTGATTGTTACTAAAGTGAATAAAATTTATGTTATTAACTCTGAGATAACCTACAACTACAACAACTGAACCTAGGTACCTTAAATCTAATTACACCCTGGTTAATATCCTGAGAAAGTCGCAAATCAGTTACTCCTCTGTCCAAAAGATATCAGACATCCATGTTATTTCATTGACAAGTACAGTTACGTAGAAAAATCATTACCTAATACATAACGCAGAATTTATGATAAAAGAACACCTCCGATCCCTAACGTGAAATCTTCAGAAAAAATATCACACTTATTTCTTCCTTTTCGTTCAATTTACACGAAAAAAATTCCAAAGTCTAAGTAACTACAAATTTTTCTTCGCAAAGCCCGAAAAATTTTCAAATGATTCTTATACACATACATTGAATGAAAAGAAAACACATTTTGAATCGATCTAATTCTTTAGCTAAAAACAAACAAACACACCTGTAAGTTACAAATAAGTTTATTTATTTTATTACCTATACCATACCATAATGGTGAATATCATGTGATGTATAATTCCGTGTACAAAGCTGTGGTAGCCTACAGTACTGGTTTAACCTACTGCCTCTCGAGCAGAGGCCATGGGTTCGAATCCGGGTGCACCCTCTGAGGTTTTCGTTATTTATGTGCCAAATTTAATGTGAAATTGACCATGAGCTTTTCGGTGAAGGGAAACATCGTTAGGAAACCTGCACGTCGAAGAATGCTGAGAGAAGATCCGCGTCCGGCAGTGGAACGTATAAATGGGTTGATGCTTGGATGACACTTTCTATTCCTGCTGGCGAATACGCATTTGGAGCCCTGTTTGGCGCCATTCCACGCACAAACGCACGCACGCACGCACACTCACACTCACACTCACACTCACACTCACACTCACACACTCACACACTCACACACTCACACACTCACACTCACACTCACATTCACACGCACACTCACACTCACACTCACACTCACACTCACGCACAAAAAAAAACATACAGTCGAATTGAGAACCTCCTACTTTTTCGAAGTCGGATAAAAAAGTTTGAGCAAACCATAAATTGAAAATCCACAAAAATAAGCAAAATGAACGCACCTAGTTTGGAGACCTCATAGACACTATAAATGATTTTAAAGATCGTTGGAGTATATCTACCTCAGTGCTAACCTTATTCTAATTCCTGCACATACTAAACAAGGGATCATTGTACGACATATTGTATGTTGTTAGTGGCACGTAAAAAAGTTTTTGAGTACGCTATCTTCCAATTATAATTCCAACCCGATTAAACAATTCACTAGCATCCCACACAGAGTTAACTAATTTATATAACACGGCAAAGCTGTGCGAAGAGCGCCTACTCTCTAAGGTGTCAATTTTAAAATACTTTAACCTATCTTCGTATGATGGGAGCCTACGTCTTAAACCCGTTTTAGTGCTTGAATGTCTCAAGAAACGCTTCTGTATAGATTCAATTCTACTTTTATGTCGATCGTAATACGGAAACCAAATCACTGACCAATACTCCAACACACTTCGAATCAATGCATTATATAAAATAACAATCCTGCATGGATCTCCGAATGACCGCACAGACCTTATTAGAAAACTCATAATTTTTTTTTGCACTTTGACACTATCATAATGCTGTCTAAAAGAGAGACTGGAATCAATCCACACTCCCAGATCTTTTATTACTGTCTCACGTTTTAATTCTACTTTATTTATATTGTATGTGTATTGTCAAGGATTTTTATTGTAAGTGTTGGTGTAAGTGTTAGTAGCTGACGTTTGCTAACATTAAGCGACATATTATTATTTCGACACCATTCTGAGAGCACGTTAATATCCCTTTGCAGCGCTGAACAATCTGTAGTCTCTACGATTTTATTAAAAATCTTTATATCATTGGCATATGCTGGACACTCACTGCTGATCAATCAAATTCAAACATCTACATTTGTTTTACCAATTATTATTTTCATTGCATGTAATAATAAAAAAAAATTCATTAAGTCTGTTGTGCTAAATTTGTTTGTTTTCGCGAATGTGAAATCGTAGCTTATAAACTATAGTTAGTTAATGCTTGTACTACCTACAGTAGGTACATAGCGCTTATATTGTAAAGAAGTAAGCGGTAAGTCGTTTAGAAATAACTTAACCTTGTAGTGATTGGGCGATAACAGGACGATTTATGTCTTAGCTATCGCATTAGTTGCCAAGTTAATGAATACTTTAGGACTCGTGCAGCTACAGCCGGTTTTGCGCGACTTCGGTCGCACCGACTCACAGCGATTAGTTTTGTCGTGCAAACTGAACGACTCGTGGTTGCGAGGCTTGCAACGATCAGTCGTCACAAGTGGCGTGGGGCTGCGCGACACAACGCTTATTGACTTCACCTTAGATTCAATGGACAAACGTGTCATGAGGCCTATTCCGAGGTGACTCGGAATTAATAGAGGCGACGCTGCAGAGTCTTGAACACCGCGTGTCTTATTCCAGCGTGACCAGGGCCGAGTTTTGAAATTTGGCTGGCCAGAAAAAGTCGTTATTTAGTCGGTTCTAGTCGCAAAAAACTAGATTTAGTCGGTCCGTCATTCAAAAGTTATAAGGGTGTTTTACTGTCGACGCTGGAATAAGTTTATTCAACCATTTCTCAATCTCGAGAACCACAACACCTACCTTAGATCTGATCAACTAAATAATATACTCGTTACGCCGTTTTGAAGTTATTAAGGTGTTTTACTGGCCACCGCCATTTTTGAATCTCGAGAACCAATTTTTCTTATCATTAGTGTTAATTCAACTAAAAGCCTCCAAATTACAAAAGTTCATACCGCATACCTTCACCCTTCGCATGCGTGTGAAGGGGCTCCTGTCGTATTGGAGTATACACAGTGAAGTAACCTGGGCATCTCCGTTTTAGCAAAAATCGACTTAAATACCAATTTCAGCGCTAGTGACTAAATCGTTCTCATTCATGTAAAGCAATCTATCTAAATAACTATTAAATAATAGTCTTATAAACTTTATTGTACATCAATTAGACAAAGGGAACTTTAAAATCCACGCACTTTAATAACGGTCTAGCATATTTTACGACCTTGACAACTAAAAATGTATCCTCCAAATATCATTCTTGTCTACTTTTAAGTCAAAAGTACTTTAAATATAACAATTAGATGCTGATAATGGTGGTGATGATAGTGACTATGATGATGATGATGATGGTCGTGATGATGATGATGATGACGACGATTATGGTGATGATGATGATGATGATACATTGATGTACAATCAAGTTTAAATGACATTAACAAAATACATATTTAAGCAGGCACGCAGGCAGACACATTAAGACAGGCGGTACTAACACCAAAAATTTATTGCAATGTGAATTGCTATCGGTCGGTCACCGGTGATGGCCGGTGGCTAGTCGCTTGCTCGCTCGCTCGAACGCAACACTGTTTCGTCGCAGTGAGTCGGCGCGATGTCACTGGCACGCTGCATGAGCCCTAAGGGTCCTTGGGCTGGATTATCGATAAGCGCCAGGTTAAGATAAGAGATTGAAATAATTGCGATCGTTTAAGAGATACCCACTAGGCTCGGTATTAACAAAAAGAAACGTGCCACTGTAAACAACATAATTGTCTGAAGACACGCGAAGCCGACCAACGTGTCAATGAACGGCTTATCGCTTGGGCGAAGCGAGCTTCTTTTGCATAATCATCAAAGTTTGTCAATAACAATGAAACAATGGACCGCGCGAGTCGTATATCGTATAGTCCGGCATTTCAGGGGAAGCCAATGAAGACCCTATAATTACGTTGACAAAAAAATAAAACAAATGACAGTGGTTCTACACTTATATTGTATGGTACAACATATAAAACATTGATTAACAATATTATATTATTAACTGGCTCCATCGGTCGCCTGTGTGGTACAAAATATAGTTACACATCAATCTACTTACTGGGAGATCAGTGGCCGAAAGACATTAGAGCTTGTAAAGTCTGCTAATAATTATAGTAGATAGAAAGCGCTAACACATCGATCGATAAGAAATGTGTCACTAGTACATATATCTATATAGGTACTCAGACAGAGAGGCTTTATTAAAAATTAGTTTTCTCGAGTCGTTAAAAGATGCAAAACAATATCATATACAGCTATACGCGAGTTTTATGGCCCGCATTCTAGAAAAGGATACGCAGACATCATTATGTCAGACATGAATCGTAATGAATGATTACACAACTTGCTGTCGCAGAGCAACCAATGTCTTCGAAGAAATAATGACTGATTCTAAACAGGTAAAATTACATTTCAACTTGAAAGAATTTGTATGATAACAGCAACAAACACGCTACAATAAAGAAAGTTAACATTATTAAATGTGGGGTTCTCAGTTACATTTATCGTTATTTTCAGGGAGACATCGCCACGCTTAGTTTTATCCAAAACGCATCTAAATTCGTCAACTGTCATTTAATTTTTTGCCTAAAAATGCAAACTATTGTCAGCCACACCGGCACGGGCCTCTTTAATATATCAATTTGTTTCATTGTTGCAATTGTTGAAGCATTACAACTCTTCTGTAAGAAACGACCACAGGGAGAACAATTGACGTCATTCAAGAAATAAATAATAATGCACATATTGCATTCAGCGCGAGAGTTTATCTAAAACCGTTGGTGTATAAAATGTATTGTCTTCCTTTGAAATGTTATCTTATGTGATAAACAAGTCTCAGGCGACGCCGAGTCCAAACTTATAGAACACTTATGTACGAATTCAATTCCGTTTGCCGATACTATAATACACAGTAAACGTGCGTAGATCTCATGTCCAGTACTTTCTCTTCTCTAAGTACGTCACACAGCTACCGACTCTTCCCTTGGAAAGAGTTACAGGCCATTCGCATCAAACTACTTCAAGCAGGAAAGACTGTTCGGCCCCAGCGCGAGGATCTACGCACGGCTTTTAGTAGTCTTCTAAACAATTACAAATACATAATTTTATAAATTATATTCTAAGTGGAACTTGACATCGTTAAAATGTAACTTTGGTACCTCAGCCTTTTCTATGTGACTGTAAAAACACACAGTTGTGGTATATATAATGAATGAGCAGACCATGTGCGTTTTATTTCTTGTTCAATGCCCAGTCTATTCGGGAAATGGAATCGAACCAAACGACTGTGGAATATCTGGTGAACTGGTAAATAACACATTTATCAAATTGTTTATTAGAGTAGTGGCTACTATACGAGACGTTTGGTCAAAATCTTCGTATTCACGACGATTGCTTTATGCGTTTTTGTAGTATTCTTTAATAAACTCTTCAAGTAAAAACACTGCTGTCTTTTTCATCAAAAAGCACAGCGTTCTTTTAATCGCGTCGCGCACAACATTCGGTTCGTCTTACGATAACACTTAGCTACGTAAAGCTAATAAATACTTTGGTCTATAATAAACAAATGCATCAATATAAAACAACAAATATTAGGTTACATATATCTTACTCTACTTCATAATAAATGCTATGCGTCGCACATGATCACACAAGTCTTTGTAGACGTCTATGGACACAAGCATGAAATATGTGTCCATCTTGGAGACGATAGACAAACATATATACTTATTTATTACCTACAGCGTCTGTTCTCGTTTACAGTCAAGTATACATAAACCATTGAACAGTGTACATAATACACTTAATCACGTGCAATTAATTTCCATCACCTTAAAGTGTTAGACAAAACAAAATTGAGAGATAGGCCAATTCAAAACAAAATCGTTTTTTTCTTACATTCAACTATTTCCCATTGCGCACTTTTCTGCCTAGAATTCTTAAGATCATAAATTATGTTAATTTTAGAATCCCAGTTTTACTATTACCAGTTCCAAATTTGGTACGAGTGACCTAATTTATTTTCCAGGCTCTCCTCACAAAAAGCGTAGAATTGAGAGCTCGAACATCGATGAACGACTGTTTACAGGAAATGCATTGTATGCTTTAATCTCAACTGTTTAATAATTACGGGTGATGTGATTGACTCTCGTTACTGCACCCATTTCGATGGATCGCATCTGCCTTCTGTCGAAAAACCTTCAACTTAGGTGGTGCTCCTCCAAAAGAAAGATAACCGCACCTCCCCTGTTCGAATGGCTACGGGTGGCAACGGGTGGCGACGGGTGACAACGGCTGACAGGGTGGCGACGGCTGGCTCAGAGCAGCGCGCAGCGGCCGAGGCGCCGGCGCCGCCGCTGCTTGTCCTCCTGCGCCGGGTGCCGCCGGATGATGCGCACCAGCTGCGAACAAGAGCAGTGCGCGTGCTGATCAATCATGGCCCTACAACACTGAGTACATGTGGCCAACAGTGAACGCAGACATACCTCGTGGAAAGCGCGGTCGATGTTGAGCGGCGGCTCCTTGGCGCTGGTCTCAATGTAGGGCGCCCCGATGATCCTGGCCAGATCGCGACCCGCTTCCTCCGACACGACTCGCACGTGGACCAGATCCACTTTATTGGCGGCTAACAGCATCGGGTACGAGTCGCGGTCTTTCACGCGCAGAATCTGCGTGTGGAAGTGGCGCACGTTCTCGTAGGATTGCATGTCGGTCACGCTATACACCAGTAGGAACCCGTCCCCCTTGCGCATGTACTGCTCGCGCATTGCGCTGAACTCTTCCTGTCCCGCTGTGTCGAGAACTGCAATATTGCATTACGTGATTTATTCACTAACAATTTGATAATAAGCAATACAAGGTAAACCAATACTTCAAATTTGAAGCTTGCATTAAAGTAAGTACCTGATTTCTTAAGGATTAGAATATTAAAATACTACAAGTATTCACATCTGTAAAAATCAATAAACCATACTGAGGTACAAACCATCAAGAATGCACCACTGTCCATCGACCTCCGTGTGCTGTATGTAGGAGTCCTCAATGGTAGGGTCGTAATCAGTGACAAAGAGCTTCTGGAAGAATTGGATTGTGATGGCGCTCTTGCCCACACCACCATCGCCGACCACCACCAGCTTCACCTGTGGTTACATATTATGCCATACACTTCAACCAACAAAGGCCAAGTAAAGTTACTACAATAAGATCAGTTCATAGAGGAAAACTCAATAATGTTATGAAGGAGACCATGTGGAGGGTTGAACTACAGAAATTATTATACAGAAAATATTATTAGCAAACAATGCAAGCAGCAAAATATAATAATTTATATGAGAATCTAGTTCAATAAAATAATTACAGCCCCGTTTGTAAGGGTGTTAGCTGGTATTCTACATTTCTTAACAACAAAGCCACATACACTGTCACTGTTTTGGAATATCGACATTGCACAGCATCACAACAACACTTCAGCTCTGGAAAGAAAGCAGTGCTACTGTTACACTACACAGCATTACGGCCATCACAATGTTAAGCTGGTGTGATTAAATACATACAATCCATTTGTCAAAGCATTCCCAACCCACTGTGAGCCATAGTGGTCAGATGCCCAGCTGTCTGGACCAAGGACCATTGTTTAAAACAATAATGTCATAACATGTGCCCAATTTAGATAAGCATTTGTCCATATATTATATTGTTGGCAACAGGAACCTATTAACAATATTGCAGTACTTTATGCAACAAATTGCGACTTTTAATAGTCTCCTCACGGCGAAATAACAGCCGCGGCGGCGAAATAACAGCCGCGGCGGCGATACAACGTCGCGTTGATAACTCAAACGGCACACTGATAATTGATAAATTTTATGACAAGTGAACAACGCAAGTGTACTACGTCCTTATGAACAATAACATACCACTAATAAGCATGAAGGCAGCTGTAATAAGCCTTCTAGCAAGATAAAGACCTTAGAGAGCCCGATTAATACTCACGGTAGGCAGGTTTTCATTAGGGGGCCCCGGGCGCGTCATCGCGGCCCCTGTGAGGCGCTTCACCCTTCCGCCGCCGGTCTCTACTCGTACAACAACGTTCCGCGTTCATGGATTATTACCTAGAATTACAACGTGTAGCCTCTTCACAATCACGTCCAATCCAAACAAATCGTTTCCATCAATTTTCATTCAACTTCCTGAACGTTGGTAGTCATGATCCCACGCCCCTTTATTGCCCACTGGGGAACTACGCTCTAGCAAGTAAAAATGTAAGTAATTTCTTACTAACCTCATAGTATAAGATGTATTACTGTTACGTCGTATTGGGATTGGACGGATTAGCGCAGAATATTTAGTTATACATATGAATTTAAAAAGTAACATGTAAACAAAATACACCCATTTCTTTTTCAGTTTGACATTGACGCGAAGTGAAGATAGTTACATGTTGCGATCTTCCTTTTCAATGCGCGCGCAACAGTAACAGGTGCGTTCGAAATTAATCATAATAAGAATAAAAAAGGCTGTCCTTTGTAAATTCCTTTGTCAGTAATAACTGTGCTGCTTTGAATTTGTTATTAAATGGATTTCCTTTTTCACTGAACAATTAGTATCACACAAACGTGATTACTGATTGTATGTATGTACATACAGTAACCGTATACTGCCACACTGATTATTGTTAAGTTTGTCAAACCATCATGTTGAACAACTGTACAAAAAAATTCAACGAAATTTGTCACAATTTTCAACTCTATGTAATCTGTGCTTTTGGGCGATAATTTTCGGCGACGCGGTGGGTGATGATCATCAGTAGTTCCTATAATATAAATAATTACCATCGTTTACTATTATAAAAACATTATAGATTTTATAACCATCCATCACAATTGACAACATTTCAAATTGATAATAGTTACGACGACGACATTTTGGAACAAGCAACTTTTCAAAAATAAAAATAAAATACTTAAACTAAAAATTAGACATTATAAAAAAATACGTGTCCTTTAGCTTTGCAGTTGTTTTCAATAGAAACAATAAAAAAAATGAAGTGCTATAAATATAAATCCCAGATGGCGGAAACGATTTTTCAAAAAAAGCAATATGGGTATCCTTTTCGAGGTATTTGGGGATGCTCATTACGAATATGGCATTCATTTCCAAATCCAAAAACGCGGGCACGATTTTTCGAATAATGGTAAGTCGTGCCCGCCATCATGGATTTGCAAATAAGTGCTATATACGTAATGACCACCCCCAAATATCTCGAAAACGATACCCAACTTGCCATTATTTGAGAAATCGTGATCGAAATCTTGCATTTAGAAAAGTCGTGTTAGCCATCATGTATTCAGATAAAAATGCCATTCCCATAAGGTTTACCAAAAATAAATTTTTGAAAATTCTTGGCAACCATCTTGGATTTACAAATTAATGCCACATTCTCAATAATCACTCCCAAACAACTCGAAAACGTCTATAATTCTCGTTGTCGATCGACAATGTCGATTATACGTTGTCGATTATATTAAATACGTTCTGGTAATCTTTTTAATTTTTTTTTTCTTCAGTTTTAACAAAATAATTGAAAGTGACGTTTCTTCGTTAGAAGCCATCATCGTGTAACCGAGCCGAAAGATAAAACATCATTAAAAAATTTTCAAAAAAAATTTCGGTCGCACTTCAAGTCGCGCGGCCGCGGCGCGATTGCAACCGCGGCTAATTTGAACGCGCCCTAAGACTATCCTCTCAATGTTACGTACCTACTTTTTCTTTTTTTATAATATCTAGTGAACGGGACGAACAAGTCGTGCGCCTGATGCTAAGCTACACGCCTGTCCATAACAGTTGCATTGCCACTCAGAGCTTTAAATCGCAAAGATCTGAGGGGCACTGCTACTGCGCCCGTCACCCTGAGATATAAGTTGACTAGTCCCACGTGCCTGTAATGTCACCAGCACCTATACCCTTCAAAACACCGGAACACAGTAATGCTGACATTAGTGCTTGGGGGCAGAACGAGGTAAGGTGGCAGTAATTCCCTGGACGAACTCTTTCACAAGGAGCTCTACTGCTACTAATCCTTAATGTATAACACTATGTTTTAGCTGAATTTTATGCAATACGTTTATTTGCCTGGCAATATAACTTACCAAAAGTTGTCGTTGCCCTGTTAGCATAATATCCCTGCATAATTTCAAGATTTAGGTGTCGGTACTTAGAACACCACTTCAAGATATCGCCGCGAAAAGAATTTTATTGAAATTTATATGAGTACAACTTCAATCAATTTAAGTTACTTGAAACTTACTAAAGACTTACAAGTAAATAAATAAAAAAGAGAATTAAAGAAAGGGAAATTTATTAATACATATAAAAGTATGTTCATTATTCAAATGACTTTCACATCTAAAAAAATATTTCACTACAAATAAAACAACTAGGTATCTAACAAAACTAGTACCAAAAATAATATAAAAACTTAAAACAAAACCTAGAGCTCTGCTCATTTCTAGTGTACAACGAAAGTGTTCATTTATTAACAAAAATATGCTTAACAAAAATACTGATTGCACATCAATTTAAATTAACTCTGAACGAAATAATAATTCTTTTAACAAAATTACCGTAATTTCCAATTTCACTCAAAAGTTGCTCCACGAATTATCTTCGTTTATTTATACAATGAATCACGTACAACAAATGTATTTATGATATAACGAATAATCTTAGAGGATGGAAAAAAAATAAAGGAAAGGAGTTGCCCCATCTACGGAATAAACGTCCCCTACCTAAACCAAAAATGTCCATCACAAATGGCGGATTTAGTGTTGTACCATAATCATAGATAAGTCAATATCGACATGCAAATGTATGGCTCGGATGTTGAAACTGTTTTTTATGTTTGCAAATTTGTATAGTTTACTGTAATCAAAGTATGATTACTACTAATTTATTAATGATAATAATAATTAAATCGCCATTTTAATCAAAATTAAATATAAAGTTATTTACCAATAAATGTAAGGATGGAATTGCATTATCATGTAGTCTAGTTACATTCAAAGTTCTATTAAGATTTGACTTCAAAATGGAGCGAACAAACGAATATGGTATTTGATCCAATGTTTATGTTCGGCAGTCCTATAATTTATATATAATAGTCTTATAATTTCTTTCTTTATTTTTTCATTTGTAGGTAAACTTTAAAAATAATAATAATGTAATAATAAAAACCTCGTAGTGAATTGTTTTAATAAAAGAATATCGATAATATGTCTGCTTTCTAGAACAACACTATCTCAAAATAATTGCTATCAACAATCGTCAAAATATATGTACTAACAAACAGGCAATCTAGTGAAATCGCGACAAAGGGAAAATGACTCCTTTCCTTATTTAATTCATTTGATGGTCGATATAAGACTGATTTATTTTAATTCAATATTCTTACTGCTAAGCGCCCTATCTACTATAGATATGCAACTATGCAGTTTTGGGTGCAGGTGCATTTATGATGACCATGCCATCTCTAAAGAAGTGAGACTGTAACTATCTAAAGAAACCAAAGCAAAATTCGGCAAAACTTATAAATAAACTACTTAAATGAGTCTAATTACATGAGATATTTGGGCTATTGTATAATTATATAATTTATAGGCAGAAAAATTACACGCACGATGTAGAGATGGGTCATGGATAAATATCATTGGGATCAATACTCAGTAGAAACATAAATATGGATAAATATCCATTTTTACTCGATATTTATCCAAAAACGTGGATAAATATTTTTAATCGTGGTTTATTATTTATGTAGTAAAACAATGTATATTTTTAAGCTTAATTGTAAACATTGATACAATTTAGTAGCATGTACGTATAGTATATTGCTTGTTATATCTTTTATTCTATACGCAGTGATAAAAAGAATACGTTGAAGTACCGTAAATCCCTGTATTTATGCGTGAGTCTTATTATTTTTTAAATGCGTAGTTTGTTAAAAAAATCTCTACACACAATATTAAATAGCTGTCTAACATTTTGCATGGATTTTTTTTTTTTTCAAATTACTAAGTTAGTCCGTTATTGTACAGTTGTTCAGCTTCATGTATAAACGTACACGAGGGTTTTTGGTTGTTCAATATTTTATTTTAAAAAACTGTACAAACTTCATTGAAATACTTAAACGATAATTAATTCTAATACAAAGGAAATTCAATTCAAAATCACTTGGCCACTATTTTGCCAAAGCCTAAATTCGCTACCGACTAATTTATATGAGTGCGAAAGAGACGGAGAGAGCCGCTTAGGAGAATTGTGTCCGCAATTCCGCGCCTTAGATGAGGTCCGCAGTCCGCGCACTTCGCATCAGTTCATAGATGAGTATAAGCACACTTGTATATTAAACTGGACCACGCACTACATAATGCTAATTACTAAATATGTCCCTACAAAATGTATGGTAAAAAGCTTTTTGCGATTTCTGACATTTCGAGTACTCTTACCTCAGTTGGCCCATAGAGACTATTGATCCTTAACAGAGACCGGATCGAATGCCATAAAAAAAGTTTTGTAAAAATTGCCTTTTATCTTGCTGACGTAGGTACCATTTTTTCAAAATCTGTGAATGTCAATCAAAATATCTTCAAAATTCATGGATAGTTTTCTAGAACCGTTTTCCTGTAATTACAACGATTAAGGTGGCAGGCCTTGCTGTCTCGTCTCAAATTTACACCCTGTACTTATACTCTCAAATTACAAATATAATTTTTTTCTGTGCAAATTCACTTTTCGTAATATTTGATTATTTGTAAACGCAAAACAATAAATTCAAAATTTCATGTGACATTCCCGGATATTCTCATAATAACCTAAAATATTCCCAAATGGAATATTGATCTATTGTAATTAAATGTTTACATGTCGATAACGACTTATCGATAGATTACGGTACGAAACTAAAGAAATCCGCCATTTGTTCGTTCAAGTTTTGTTTAGGTATGCATGTTCATTCCATAGTTAGGGCAGCTACTTTCTTTTATTTATTTTTCCATCTTCTAAGGATTTATATATGTCAATATATCCTTTGGTTTCCATAGTCTAAAGGAATAACACATATTGCATTCATTATTTCAAAAATGTCATCTGATTTACTGAAAATAATCGGGACTTTTTATCTCTTTCGCATACAACTTTGAGTCTGGTACAATATGGCCGAATAAAGAACAGGCTAGAACGCTGTGCATATGAAACTACCCTCATTTTTTCAAAAACTATAAATGCAAACAGTCATGTTGTAGGGCTCGCGATCCGGCTCACGTATGTGGTGCCACCAGCAGACGCCAAAAATGTTCTAATCGGACACATAAGGAAGCGTGGACGTCCTGCGAAAGCAAGACGCGCATTATTAATTCAATAAAAGTTTTTTTATTAGCCTATTAAGTCCCACGGGCAAAGGTTAATAAGGTATTTTTCTGCTTT